ACCCACCCATGGGTAATTATACCCAAACCCAAGTAGATCCATTCATAATGGGTTGGGTATGAGTGAAGTGCATATGGGTTTGGGGGTTTGTAAATGGGGTTTGGGTAAGGTATGACTATTGCTTCCATAATCTATGTATGGATTGGATATGGATATCCATTTATTTGAGGGTGTTTTAACTACACATGTAAAAATTGGACATATTTGTAAAACTTGAAAAGATTAGGTACCAAAATGTAAGACCAAAAATATTTAGGTACCAAAATATAATTTTTTATAGATATTTTGAGGACTTATATGCAAAAAAATTAAATTTAGGTACTAAATATGCATATCTATTAAGTTTAGGTACCAAACTGTAATTTGTATTTGGACATGGATGCAAACCCAAATCCATTTGTTATAAACCCAACCCAAGTAAATGGGTATAGGTACAAACCCATCAAAATCTACCCATATCCATCTATTTTGATTTTATAGCCAACTCAATTGAGTTGAATAGTGAAAAACCCATAGATATAGGCAAAATTGCATCCTACGCCTAATTATGAACCCCTCCTCATCTTGCTGACAGACAATGTCAAAGATCTCATCTTTTTAATTTCCTACTCCTATTGACTCCCAATGAGCAGTAGTCCTTTAGCCATCTCTTATGACCACCCTATTGTTTTTGTCTCGACTTGTTGACTCTCCGGCCTTCCTTTCCCTTTCCCCTGTCGCACACCTTCAACTTTTTGTATGCCCACACATACAGCATGTGAAAAGATTCATGTGCATGTCTTTTGCTGTTTTGTGAATGATTTTTTTATATATCTATATAGGGCAAGAATTTCATACATTCACATAATTTACTGCTCATTCATCATGTACAATCACTTATGGATTTTGTTTTAAAAAAAAATCAATGAAGTCAAAATATATTATAACCATACTTAATTAGTAGCTGCAGGGTAACACGATCCACTGACAGTCGCTTTAGATTGACGCGATGAAGGTCTCGTCACCGTCTTCCCAATTAATCTTCAACCACTTCCCTACAGGAGAAATACGACACTGATTGAGCCAGCATAGACGCCTCGCACCCAAAATCAGAAGCTCTTCTCGAAACAGGGGAAGGAGATTTGTGCGAATTGTGTTTGAATTTGAATTGTTTCTTCGGCAGCGATCCAGAACTACGTCTCTTCGCCTTTGAGAAAGGAGAAAACATCATGGTGGTAATGATGGTTGAGGTCTTTGTGGGAGCTTGAATTCCCTAAATTGGTCATAGGCTGTGTAGCGACTAGCGAGGCCCGTATCCATGACGCTCTCGATGGTGAGCTTGAGAGGGATGGGTTTGAAGGAATTTTGGGAGAGAAAGAGGGAATACTAGAAAAATTTAGATTTAAGAGATGATGGAAATATATAACTTTGAACCCAGGATTTCAACTTTAAAAGAAAATTCAGATATAAAGTGATGGAAAAATTGTTAAGCTAAATGAAGTCAGCAAAGGCAGGATTTCAACTTTAAAAGAAACCCCAAAGGCCAAAGTCATGTCTTCCATTGTCATGGTTGCACTCTACTGCTCAAAATAGGTTGTATAACTAAATTAACATGGACCCGACCATTTGGTCTGGAACAATTTGCTATTTTATTGATAAATTATCTCAACAAATATTTTTATTCAGCATTGTCAATTGTATTCTCTTATACATAGCGTTAATTGAAAAATTAAATTTTCTAAATCTTAATTTTGTTTATGAGGTGTTTCTCTGTCACGGTATTCAACTTTTTTATGTAAATTTTTTGTACTTGATTTATGTACTCAATCGAGATTCCCACAATGTTCATGTATTTTCAATCTTTCAACTAATATGATTTTGTTTCATCCAAGTAGAGTAGAAAACCAATGTAATTAGAGACTGAATAAGATCTCGGTTAAGCACTTATGCATCTACAACTGTGCTTTTTTGTGCAAATTCTTCTAATAAAAGTGAAATGCTCGGTTGATTTTTTTTTTTTTGGCAAAAGGTAATCTTATATTGAATAATTAGAGTTCGAACAAATTGCATCCAGGTATACAACCAGGAAAAGAACTCAAAAGATCAACATGCAGACAGATACAAAGAAAGAACATTTCGAGTCACCAAATGGGCTACCCTATTGTTATTCCGACCTACCAATCGGTACATTAAAGCCATGATAATTTGCCAGCAGACCACGAACTTCCTCAAGGATGGCTCCAAATTGATTGTCATGTGCATCAACCCGATTTCTCTTATCAACGATCACCTTCGCGTCTCCAACAAACCGAACCTGCGAGAGACCACAATCCGGACGCCACTGGATGGCCTCGCGGACTAAATATTTTATGATATGGGTATGATTTTGATATTCTGTCTGATTCTTGTATGAGTATGGATATGGGTAAAACTTTAACTATATAGAGCAGAGTACTAAATAGTAAATATGTACTATTAGACTCTGACTCTATCCATTGCCATCCCTATTACTATATTTTTTTAGTTAGTAATTGATAGAGCTTGTATGATATGTAATCAAACTTGGTGTTCAATAAGTGATTTCAGTTTATACTCATTCTCTCAAAAAATCTTCACACTATTTTTTTCTATTAAACTTAATCTTTAGTAAATGACCATCAAAAGTTGCTTACTAAATTTGGTAAATAAAACCCCCCAACAACAATATAATTTCAGTAACAGAAAGACCAAGATCAAATGTCATTAAAAAAAATAGAAAGGGAAGTGAAACATCATGAACCTTTTCCCGAGCAAGATATTGTCCGCTTTGGGTCTCGACCCTCACAGTTTTTGACCTGGAGTGCAAGTCATGGTGACTTCTCATAAGGTCACCCATCCTTGTAGTACTCCACACTGAGCATGTTTAACTTCGGAGATCTCACAAGAACTCCTCCATTTCACCCCAAAATGCATCTTGTCAGTTAAGGTCGGTTTCTTACTTATGAACCATGCATCTCTCCCGTGCTTTGTCGATGTAGGATTTGCCTAAGGTGTTACATACCCCCTGGTATGAGTGGTGGTATCTTATGATACACAATGTTGAAAATCGTAAATGACAGCTAGTATACTCCTACTATCATGTATTCAACCATCCTCGAGTCTTGGTATGTTCATATCCCTGCGATCTCATATTCGAGCAATTGGAGAGAGAACCGGGGTAACACTCCTGTCCCCATTCCGGCTTCCTCCATCCATGCCGTCCCCCATGCCAGGCGGCGGCCAACCACCCATCCCAAGAAGATTCGTCGAGATTCTCGGCTGCACCGTCATCTGCTATGTTTCCGGCGCCCCTGCAACCGGCCGGGGGTGTGTTGACGGATGAACCGTCTTCAAGGAAATCCTCTCTAGGGATTTAGAGCACCAACAATTCACCTTGTGTGCCTGCCCACATAATCTGGAAAGGGTTTTCGTCCATTCCCAATCCTCCGCCTTCTTATCCGGCGGCTTCATTCGGACTAACGATGTCGTTCGGATCTTTCCATAATCACGTATATTCTCTGTCTCCTGATATGCAACGTCCATATATGCAAATCCTCCGGCAAAGGTATAATGAATCTCCAGCCTACCTCATTCTCTGCTTTGCATCTTTTCCGCGAGGCATCTCCGTTCTTTTCCACCCACAAGTGATCACGTAACGCCTCATCGGACCCAAAAACCTATGCCAGCACCACGTCGAATTGTTTCCGTTTTCTATTGCATCTCAAGGATTGTTGAGGGAGCACATCCATGGGCGACAGAGGTAGGGCTGAGTCAGAATTCCAAACAAACTCCTGTCCTTTGCCCCTTGCCACCACGTAGAGTTGTGCCAACCGGGATAAAAAAATCCGCCACACAATCGCCGGCAATTTTCCCGATTAGGATTAGGGTATTCTTCCAGCAAAAGTAGAAACCTCGCCAGAGAGTCCAGAGGAGCTCCATGGAGAGCATTTCCCCCCCCCCCCCCCCCTAGTTGTGAGTTGCTGCCTTCAAATCCTATTTGGGTACGAAGAAAGATATTTCCGTTTTACAGCTCATTAAACGGCCATTTAATAGAAAATTTAATGGAAGTGTATATTAGTTAAGTTTAAATACTAGAAGAGCATATTTGTGCAAAAAATTAATAAAGTGATACCTTCGTTAATTCACAATAATAAAATCGGTACGAATTGCTATTAACCCAAAATATTATAGATGTTATCATTCTCGTATTACTACAATACGTGTCCTTTGACGTGAATTCTGTCTTTCAGCTTCCTGTTTTGCCACACGCAAACTGAAAATGGGGAAATTTGAGAATCAATGGAACTAATAAGTGGCATATGTCTCCCCACTTAACGTGAGATTATCAATCTATAGTTATAAAAATAAATGAATTAGCGGAAACATTGCTGGCTGACTAGCTGGCAGGCAGGCGGCAGTAGGTAGGGATGATAATTGGTCCGGCTGGGACGGGTTTTGCTAAATTCAAACTCAAATCCATGAGTTTATTCGTTAAAAAAGTTGGGGTAAAAGTTATTGGGTTTGAAAAACCCAAACCCAACCCAACACTTTGGGTATCCGCAGGTTCATGGGTATCCGTGGATTTTTGTGGTAAAAAATTTACAATATAAAGTTTTTTTCAAAATAAAAGTCTAACATCAATTTTCTCATAAAAATTATCCATACAAAAAACACTAATATAGAGCATACAAAGAAGCCGCAAATTATCAATACAAATTGTTCAAAATTAAAAATAAACATCTATAAACAACATGATTAATTGAAAGCTACTTCCTCCTTGTCAACTAAGTTTCTTCACTCTCTACTCCATAATATCAACTTCATTGTACACAATTAGAAAGAAAAAATTAGAAAGAACAAATTAGGCATGTATCCACAAACATAAAGAAGATTAGTTGTTTAAGGAAGATATATTGCTTAGAATATTAAATAACCCGGAAAAATTAATTATATGGGTGGGCGGGTACCCATTAGGCGGGTTTACCTAAACCCAAACCCAACCCAACTCGCTTAATAGTTTATCGGGTTTAAACCCGAACCTTGCCCAAAATCCATCAACTCGGGTTTTGCCCACATTGACCGGATTGGATCGGTTGGGTACCCGTGAGTTCGGGTTTTGTTGCCATCCCTAACGGGCATCCATCCCCCACATATCAACTGAAGTACCCATAGTCAAATTTGCCTATGGCTAAATGCTAATGGCCAACCCCACATTACATTATCTCTTTTTTATATGATTAACATTACATTATCTCTATACCTTTTTAATTTTTGTATTTTTATAAAAAACAATTCAACCATAACAACAGCATGCGGCTGATTTTTTTTTTTTTGTGAAAAAACGGAGTGCGACGGGCACCCCAACCGTTAACTAACAACCATTCGAGGCGTTTCCACCCCAATCAAATCAAAATACAGCCAGTACTTTAACATTGGGTCCGGCTCTTCAAGAAAGTGGATCCCCTGCTGAACCTTGTGACCTGCCGAGGCCAAGTAATCGGTAACAAAGTTGCCTTCTCTATAAACATGTAGCAGCTGAACCTGCCAATCAAGTGCCAGCAGCCGGCGAGCTTCCTGCACTAAAAGGAAGTGGGGATGCCGGTTCTCGGCTTCCTTGATGAGTTTGATGGCAGTCTGCGAGTCCGTTTGTACGATGATGCACCTGAGTCCCTCGTTCCACGCTACCTGTAATCCCTTCACTATTCCCTCCAGCTCAGATCTCGTAATGGATACTTCGCCCAACTTCATAGAGAAAGCCCTTATTAGCCGCCCATTCTCGTCCCTTAATACACCTCCCACTGCAGCTTGTCCATTAACTACCGATCCGTCCGAATTCAGAGCGACCCAGCCTTGCGAAGGATGTTCCCACTTGATTTCTTGTCTGTGTCTACGCAGTGTAGCATCAGTTCCCAGAACCCGCGCCGAAGAAGCTGCCTCGATCCGCTGGATTAAGTTTGCCGCCTGTCTCCTGATCACGTCCGGGGAATTTATAACTTTTTCAAACACGTGTTTGTTCCTGTTTTTCCACAGTAGCCAGCAGATGCTAGCAAACATTGTGGGGTTCACTTCCTTGCTTCGCCCCATGAGATAATGAAGAGACCACTTTATTCTATCTTGCTGGAAAAACACTTCATCAGGTTCGTCCCCTAGTAGTTCCGCACATACAGCTCTGGCCAAGGAGCATTCTTGCACCACATGAAGGGAGTTCTCCTTCTCATAATCACAAATAGGGCACGTTTTTTACGAGCTCAGGTGTCGACGAGCACATTCACAGTTTGTAAGCAGCCTATCATGCACAAGTAGCCAGAAGAAAGTACGAATTCTTTGCATAGCCGGGATCCTCCAAACCGCTCGCCACACTGGGTGCTTGCCCTCGGTCTTTCCTCCTCATCCGTAAGTTCATAGGCCGTCTTCAGACTGAACTTTCCGTTCGGCGTAAGTCTCCAAATAGGAATATCATTCTTTGTTCCGTTGGGTACAGGGTGAAGTTGAATTTGAGCCACCACACTCTCTGGTAGAAAGGCCCTCATATACGCTACAATCCATTCCCCATTACGGCTCAGTTCGGCCACTTTCAAGCTACTCGCCTTCTCCGGTAGATCACCTACATGCTCCGCCCGGGGGGGGGGGGGGGGGGGGGGGGGGGGGAGGGGGGGGCATCCTACAGCCACCGATCATGCCAAAACAACGTCTTCCCTCCAATTTGAACCGTCCACAAAGTTGCCTCCGGAATCAAGTGCATCACTCTTATCACACCCCTCCACAAGTTCGATAGCCTACCCGTTCTTCGTGGGACATAACCATCAACTGTTTGCGACATGTATTTAGCTCTGATCACCCGGACCCAAAAACTCTTTGTCTCCGTCATCAGTCTCCATAAGATTTTCATCATAAAAGCCTCGTTCATTCTCTCTGCACTGCGAAGACCCAACCCTCCCTCATCTTTCAGTCTGCAGATTGTCTCCTAGTCAATGAGGTGAATCTTCCTCCCTGCTTCTGTGCTTCCCCATACAAAAGCTCGGATCTTCCTATCTATATAATCCCAGACACTTGCTGGTAGCAGGGTCGTCTGCATAGTCTAAGCTGGGAGACAAGATAGTATAGCTTGAGCTAGTGTAATCCGCCCTGCCAGGGACATACTCCCCGCCTTCCACCTAGCCAGTCTAGCATCAATCTTATCAATTAGAGTTGTGAAAGTATTCTTTGACACCCGATCATGAATAACCAGATTTCCCAGGTACCTACCCAGATTATTCGTTGAGGGGATCCCTAGAGCAGAGCTTAGACCCTGGCTGCTAGCTGCCGTCACATTATGCGAGAAGTAAACGCGAGATTTCGGTTTGCTTATTTGTTGTCCTGACGCCGCACCAAACTGCTCAAAGCACTTGAGTATAACTGCTACCTGCTCCAGAGAGGCCTCGCCAAAAAGGATCAAATCATATGCAAAAAAAGAGGCGTGACAGTAGCGGGCCATTACTAGACAATCTGATCGGCTTCCATGAACCCCCTGTTACCCCATCTTAATCAGCTGGTTTAGACGCTCCAGGCAAAGGGTAAAAATATACGGCGAGAGTGGACACCCCTATCGAAGTCCCTGCGATGGGGTAAATGCGTTTGTCAGGCCGCCATTCCACTGAATCTGCATTGTTGCCGTGGAGATATATTGCATCGTAACTGCTATGAAACTAGCTGTGCCCCTGTTACCGTGGAGATACATTGCATCGTATCATGCAGCTGATTCTAAATGATGGAATAAAATATAATTCAAAATCTTATAATAATTCTTTTCGTTCTAATTTTGTCTAATTAGTAATTAAAACATTTGATTATTTAATTTTGGTGTCAACTAATCCAGATTGGTTACCGGGAACAACAGATAGTTAATTATTTTCATTATTACGCACCTATGACTGAGTGCTTGCACTAATGAGAAATGCCTACCTCAGTCGCTGTACATAAATTGCTCAAGTTTTATTTATTCCGAAAAGAATGAGCGCCATTGCATTTCATTCACAGCAAGTCAGCAATGAAACATTGTCATGAATCCAAATAGGCAAAACACACATTAAATGAAGAAAATGTGAAGTAGCCACTTGTTCTCCTTTGAGATTGTGACATCGTCAGGCCAAAAGGGAGATTGAAATAGAACGTGACCATTAAGAATATCCTTCAAGGAACGAATCATCCAATCATACCACTCCAAAAATTAAAAAGGGGAGTGGATCAATATACGACTTTGACAAGATTCAAACAATTCGTTTTGTATGCCAATGGTGAACTTATATACTTTAGCACAATCTAATCTGATCATATCAAAGAAAGACTAATCCCTTTCACAGCAATTCTCAATAAATAACGAAGATAATCTAGTTTATCTATCGTTTTACAATTGTGTATAAGTATCAGAAACAGTTATTCGTTAACCAACAACTCATAATAATGTATCAATAAATGAACATTAATCATACCTATCGCGTTGCAACATAGCAAGTGATAACGAAAAGTGTAAATGAACTTGTACACTACCCGATAAACCAATCGATATTAGTAAAAAAAAACACACATTTTTTCATTCAACCGATTAGCAGTAGAGCAACTAGCAAGTAGCAAAGATGATTAGTGGATTACTTAACAATTACAGAAAATAAGAATGAAAAGAGGCAAAAGTGGAAGAAAACAAAAAAGACAACGGTGGTAGGTGAAACTCTATCGCTATTTTCTTTTTAGTTACTACTACCAAACCATAACAATGATGATAAAATAATAATATAATATTATGTAATATAAATGTCAACAAGTCAATTCCCCAAATTTTATAATCCACATACCTACCCCGAATCTGGACCCCGCCAGCCCACTTCCTTTTCCTTACCCACCATACCAGACCCAAAACCAGAACCAGACCATTCTACCCCTCATTCTTACCAACCCAACTCCACCCATTCTCTCTCCTCCCTTCTCATCAGCACACACTCACCAACCCCATCCTACCTTAATTCCCCATTTTACCCCCCGCCCATTCCCATTTCCCCTCCTTCGTTCAAAACTCCCCTTTTATATCCTCCCTTCCTCTTCCCCTGTTTTCCTTAGGAAGTCCCTATTCTCTCTTACTTCCAACTCCAACAACTCCTTTCTCCCTTCTCCCACTCATTCAAATCTCATCCATGGAGCTCAATCAGCAGCAGCCGGCGGCGGAGGAAATCATCTTCCGCTCCAAATTGCCCGACATCGACATCCCCAACCACCTCCCCCTACACTCCTACATCTTCCAGAACATCTCCAACCACGCCGACCGCCCCTGCCTCATCGATTCCCTCTCCGGCCAGATCCTCACCTACGCCGACGTCCACCTCACCGCCCGCCGCGTCGCCGCGGGGCTCGACACCCTCGGCGTCAAGCAGGGGGACGTGATTATGCTCCTCCTCCCTAATTGCCCCCAATTCGTCCTCGCCTTCCTCGGCGCCTCCTTCCGGGGCGCCATTGCCACCGCCGCCAACCCCTTCTTCACCCCCGCCGAGGTCGCCAAGCAGGCGAAGGCCTCCGGCTCCAAATTAGTCATCACGCAGTCCGCCTTCGCCGATAAGGTCAGGGATCTCGCCGCAGACGGCAAGATTAAAGTCGTCTGCGTGGATTCCGCCGCGGTCCCGGACTGGTGCTTGCATTTCTCCGAATTGACCGGCGCGGACGAGGCGGCGGCGCCGGAGGTCGAGATCGAGTCCGACTCGGTGGTGGCGCTGCCGTACTCTTCCGGCACCACGGGGTTGCCCAAGGGGGTGATGCTGACTCACAAGGGGCTGGTGACGAGCGTGGCGCAGCAGGTGGACGGCGAGAATCCGAATCTCTACTTCCACTCCGAGGACGTGATCCTGTGCGTGCTGCCGATGTTCCACATCTACGCGCTCAACTCGATCATGCTCTGCGGGCTCCGGGTCGGGGCGGCGATCCTGATTATGCCCAAGTTCGACGTCGGGGCGCTCCTGGAGCTGATCCAGAGGTACCGGATCACCATCGCGCCGATGGTGCCTCCCGTGGTGCTGTCGATTGCCAAGTCGCCGGACACGGAGAAGTACGATTTGTCGTCGATTCGGATGCTGAAATCGGGGGCGGCGCCGCTGGGGAAGGAGCTGGAGGATGCCGTCAGGACCAAGTTCCCAAATGCCCGACTCGGCCAGGTGCGTTTCCTTTCCTGTTTGTTTTTCTCTCTCTCTCTCTCTCTTGTTTTCACTGTTTGCCTTGACTGCCATTTACAGAGTTACCGCAATTCGCCAACGCGATTTTTAGCAAATTATACTTCATTTATGTTTAATTATTATCCCTTTTTCTCTCTAATTCTTTTCGTCGCGGCGCTTTAATTAATTTTGGGTAATTAACGGAATTGATGATTAATCGTATAATACTAATAATTCTTATTATTAAGTGCAATTAAGTTTATGAGATACTTTTGTAAATTCATGTAACGCACGCGAGGACATGCTGAATTTGGGCCAAACTCTCCACCGCTAGAGTGTAGACTCCAAATGAGAAAGTATAGATAAGCACGCCAGTTATTTTATTTGGTAGAAATGTTTCCTATCTAATCTATCTAGGATTGATGGTGTGGTGTCCCTACCAAATTGGCAACAACCCTTGGCACCGAATTTGAAGGTAGAAAGAAAGGAAAAGGTTCTTCTTGAGTTGCACCCAAAATTGTAGTCATCTAATGTGCAACGCCATTGATGTTGTCGATGGGGTTGCCGTAATCTAGTGCCAACTTCTACATTATTATTATTATTATTATTATTATTATTATTATTATTATTATTATTATTATTATTATTCAATTTGCCAATATGGGTGGTATCATGCCGAATTACCACATTAAGTTGTGGATTTCTCCAACCTTACATGGTCTAACGGCTTTTCAAGGTTGAAAGTTTTAGGGTCAAATTCTTTAAGTAGCACCTAACCATAAAAACGAACATCATATCGTTGAAATGATGGATTCAAGCTTTATGGACTCTTTTACGTCCGACCATTCTTTCGTGGTGGTACTTTCTAAACTACTAGGTATATAGCGGTAGCTAATGGCATCGAGAAATTAAGGCAGCGCCAATATATAAATTTAAATATTTACCGTCAATTTAAAAGCATGTCGCAGAAAATAAAAACAATTGATTAGGTATAGCCAATTGTATAATGGTAGGTTGTCAACAACAAAATTAGTGGAGGGAAGATGGGGAAGTCATGGGAGCCATGTTGTTGGTGTAGTCGGAATATTTGGGGAGAAGCTTCTTGTTTTCCCATAAAGACATGCCTACGACATTATAATTTGCCACTTAAACCCACATTATAAAATCGTACCAAATGTTGAACCATATAAATCGTGGTTAGACCATAGTGGCACTGTATTTTCTATTTAAATCGTGGTTTAATCGTAGTAGTTCGATCGTTTCATACCGATCAAATTATATACAAGTTGGACTCCGATATACTTTTTTTTATCAGACCGTCAATATGGTACGGTTTAACAAACACGGATATAAACACAAATTGCCCCAGAAAAACAACTTTTTCCCATACTTCTTTAGTGAGCACCTTCCCACCACAATCCCCTTGGACATTATTGGGGGCATGTTATATGCAGTAGCTGGTCTATTAGAATGCTGGTATTTATAACAAGAACTTTCTTCATAGTATTTGGTTTGCCGGACCACCATGTAAGGCGGCCAGAGAAATGGGAACCTCTAGTCGGCATCCGCGGGGAGGGCCACTTGCTTCCATTGGTTCCTAGACTTTATATGCCTTTATTTGCATATGACAATAAATGTAACCACACCTTGAATGAGGTGGGCACCCACTCCAACCTCTTATCTGTGTAGTAGCAGAATTATGCAGCAACTTATTAGGCGTATGGTGTGGTGATGCATGGATTGGTGAGGGTCCAAACTAGAAGATAATTGATGATTGCAAACCCAGCATTTGTACAGCCTAATGATGTTTTGTAGTTTAGTATGAACCAGATACTCCCCAAGAAAGAAGCATGTAACTGTAAGTACTAATACCAAACTTTTTCCTGTTTGGTTTTGCAGGGATATGGAATGACAGAGGCAGGACCAGTGCTGTCGATGTGCCTGGCATTCGCCAAGGAACCGTTTGAGATCAAGCCGGGTTCCTGTGGAACCGTTGTCAGGAATGCTGAGATGAAGATCGTCGACCCTGATACTGGATTCTCCCTCTCCAGGAACCAGCCTGGCGAGATTTGCATCCGAGGCCATCAAATCATGAAGGGTTAGTTAGTTTAGTTAATCCACCAATTTCTCAAAATTTGATAGAAACACATCTGGGATGTCACCATCTGGTCGCGTATGGTAATCACAAGTTGTTGGATCGATGTAGTTGGAATATTTTGGTCCAATAGCTGAGATTGACTGTGTCAGCTGTTTGCCGCCCATGCCAGCATTGTTGAAAGAATCACTTAATTATTGCTGTCAGAACGGGATTAATAATATTAAGTTGTTTTTGGTCTGATCAGGGTACCTGAATGATCCCGAATCCACATCAAGAACAATAGACAAAGAAGGGTGGCTACATACCGGCGACATTGGGTTCATTGACGACGACGACGAGCTCTTCATTGTTGATAGGTTGAAGGAGATTATTAAGTACAAAGGTTTCCAGGTTGCCCCTGCTGAACTTGAAGCCTTGCTACTTGGTCATCCTGAGATTTCTGATGCTGCAGTTGTGGGGTAATAATACTTCTTCAGACAACAAAAATGCTGACTTCCCCTGCTTCTCTTCTTCCCTTATGTTCCTGATTCTCATTCTTCTTGCTGTCCAGGTTGAAAGATGAGGCCGCCGGGGAAATCCCAGTAGCATTCGTCGTAAAATCGGATAAATCTGAGCTTACTGAGGATTCAATCAAGCAGTACGTCTCTAAACAGGTAATAAGAAGATTCATTTGAGAGTTAATTCAGAGTTAATCATGTTCTCTAGGGAGTGCAATTAGGTGGCTAAATGGTGACTTGGTTGAATGGATTTCAGGTGGTGTTCTACAAGAGAGTAGGCAAGGTGTTCTTCAGGGAGTCGATTCCAAAGGCACCCTCTGGGAAAATACTGAGGAAGAATTTGAGAGCAGAGCTGGCTGATGGTGTCAAACACTGATCAACCACCGGTTACCATTACAACTATTGTTTATTAACCCATCCAAAAAGAAAGCTTAAAAAGGGGTCCTGAAGCGAACCTGTGTTTCTCTTTCTCACTTTCTTCCTTCTCAACTTTCTTCTCTTCCCTTTTTTGCGCCCTTTTTTCCTCTCTCTTTTGGCTATTTGTCAATTCTCATATGAATATTTCCCCACGATTGCTTGTGTAAAAGTAAAAGACAGGGTGGAACAATCAAGAATGTACTTACTATTGTTTGTGAAATTGAATCAATACAAGAAGAAAACAATATCCATGTTGTTTTTCAAAAGCTTCAGCAGAGCTCACTCCCATGAATGGAGTCGTAGACTCGTAGTGCTTACGCATTTTCGGACCACGAGGAATTTTTTCAAATATATCATCCAAATATTAAAAAGCTTCAAAAATACTATCTTTTAAAAAAAATTCATTAAGAGTAGGGATGGCAAAAACATTCGTAACCGTGGATATCCGCCCGAATCCGGCCTAACCAGGTAGGACCCGAGTTCGAAGGACATTTAGTGGGTACGGGTAAAACCCGAATCCGAATATTGTGGGTAATGGGTGGGCATGAGTTTCTCACTATTCAATCCGAACCCGTCCGATTATACACATGCATATGTATTTTTATCAAGATATAATCATTATTTTCCTCTAACATATTTTATATTTAGCATATAAAAATAATATTTTCATGAAATGGTGTTATTTTAATTGATTTTCTTCATTCTAGTGAATTATTGTCGTACATTTCATCTTACCTAATGTGAGAATACGTGTGAATGTTAACGTATTGGTTGGAGTTATGAAGAGGAATTATTACCCATGGATACCTGAAAACCGATCGGGTATGGGCATGGTTATGATTTTCTACCCGTTTCACATGTGGGTATGGGTATGGATAAAACCCGAACTACTTTGGGTAGGGTAATGAATATGCACTATCCGCCCCCGACCCGACCCATTGCCATCCCTAATTAAGAGTATCCTTTTTCAAAAACCGTAGCCCTCCATGGCGGTTTAAACAAGTACCGCAGGGGGTGCTGTGGTTTTTGTTCTTGCCGCCTAAAGACCACGTGGGGTCGCTGCGGTGAGATTAACCGTGGTCCGCACGCGTTTTTCATGCAAACCGCCACATTCCCGTGGCTTGCACATAGTTTTTTTTCCGATGAATGTCTAACCTAGGACGAAACTATAAACAAATGTAACTTTGTGCTCGGTTATTTGATTGTAGTGATTTTTTTTATTCGACATAATTTTTCAAGATCTGGCAAGCCGCAAACCGCCGGTCCCGCCTTCGTCTCAAGAAAATGTCATTTTCTACCCCGAACGAGCAATTTTTCGATTTTTCCAAACTTTGAACTACCATAACTTTGTGCTCCGCAATTCGAACGTCACAATTTTTTTATGATTTCGCATAACTTTTTTAAGACTATAAATTTTTTCATAGCTATATTTTCAGAATGTATGTGGATTTGTGAAAAGTAAAGACAAATTTATTCCCAAAACCCCTTATATCCAAAAAGATGTCCTGTTTTGAAAATTCATTCCTGGTAAAACTTGTAGTCCTTTAAAAGTTATACAGAATAAAAAAAAAAGGTTATGACATTTGGGTTATGGAGCACAAAGTTATGGTTGTCCAAAGTTTGACGAAATAAAAAAATTACTCGTTCTGGGTAGCAAACATCGATTTTTCGGGACGAAGATGGTACCAAAAAATAATGCAGAATAAAAAAAAATCCCTACATTATGTTCATTTGAAGTTTCAGTCTAGGTTAGGCATTCATCGAAAAAAGAAAAGTTTATGTGAAAACCGCGGGGGTTGTGACGGTTTGCATGAAAACCGTGACTATTTTACAAACTGAAAACTGCAACACCCTTTGCGGTCCTCATATAAACTGCTATAAGGGGTTGCGGTCCTTAGGAAAGAGTGCTATGGATGGAAAGTTTTGGGAAAGGGTGGTATTTTTGAAATTTTTATTTTTTTGTTGGTATTTCTAGAAAAATTTCATGGTTCTCATACTGTCACCCCTAGGTAGTGGCGTAAGCCAGGATTTCAATTAAGGTGGGTCCAATGAAAAAATAAAAATATATAAACTAAATTTTATTAATATTTAAATAGCCTACGACATATTTTCATAGTTTGTCGACTGCTTTTCATTTGAGGATGAAGGATTCAACACTAAATTAGGAATACGTAAACTCAAAATAAGCAATTAGAGACTCAAATTTTATGTAAAATCTAAAGTTCTTTACTTAATATGCAAAGTTAATGTGTGCCACAATATTTTTTAAATGAATGATGAGACTCAATTTTATTACCAAATATAAAATAAGACAAACATGATAAAAAAAATAGGAGAGTCAAGGCCACATAAAGGGAACGGTTAGAGTGCTAACTTTATAGGAGGTTAGCAACATACTAACTACTCTAATCACCGACTATATGTTTAAGTTCATCTATCTACAAGATACATAAAGGCAAAACATGGGTTGGAATTCTCCCATTTCAAATTTCGTGACCTGAGAGTGACTCTAGGAAGGTCATTTTTGTCATTGCACCCAGTTCATGTTTATATATTAAAAATGTTATCATTGGAGTTCGAACTCTAGTCACTTAAATGACGACACAACATTATAACCAACTAGGCTGCATTTTATTTATTGTTGTTTCTTTAATTTGACTCTAGGAATATGTTTGGTAATGATGTTTCTATATTTATATTTTATCTTAAGTTATTTATATTTCTACATAATATATAAAGGCAAAACATGAGTTGGATTTTCAGGGATTTGAATTCCCAGGTCTGTGATGGTTTCACGGAAGGGTAATTTGACAATTTACCTGTCATTTTAGGTCATTCGTTTTTTGCTATCAATCCGCAACGTGCCCTTTCAAATCATTCAATTTCATATCTATAACCTGTGTCGTCATCAACAAATATGATAAATATTGGAAAAAATTTTCATTGATATGTTGGACTATATCACAGATCAATTATATATGCTTTATTTGTAAACATGTATATCGCTATTAGTTCCATATCTTTGATACTTACACGCATTATAAGTAGTAACAACACATTAAAAAAAGGAATAATAATCTTCACCATTTACACACATATAAGTGGTTACAACACATACAACATACATAATAATCAAACTCCCCAACCAACAGGCGGGGATAGTGCTAGGGATTCTTAGATTGGCGAGGATGAAGAGATAGGATTAGAAGGAATTGCTGGAGAACCCGAGGAAGATGAAGTGGAACTTTTGAGAATCTGAGATAGGATTAGAAACCAGAACTGAGTCGATCGATTGTTGGTGAAAGACGGATACATGCTTCGGCTTTGGTTCCACTTCCCTGCCATTCAATCTGGTGGCCCAGTATTTGTTCATTCTTTTGTGGGCTGGAAATCAATCAGACTGTTGGATTGATGGCCAAGTATTTATTTCCTATTACTTTTTTTTACGTTCATCTCATAAAACATTTTTTCAACACATTTTTTTTACGTTCATCTCATATATTATTGTTGTTTGTAAAATTACAAATCAATTCTTTTAATTCATCTTCATAATAAACATTAAGTTGCTCTATCCGCATGGATAGTTTAATTTCAGCTTCTCCCATAAACACTTCCATACAACAATTTTTAGCTAAAATTTTAATAGGTATTCATAACACATTTTTTTTATAATGGTGATATTGTATTGAAGAGGAGAAAGGGAACAAAGTACATAGGAAAAAACATTTCCGGGCCGGGCAATCACAAGAAGTGACTAAAAGGGGGCCTGGGAACCGAAAGAAAAGAAAAGAAGGAAAGAAAACAGGGAGCCACAATAAGTTGGAAAAACCAGCGAACAACAACGGAACAGAGGGACAAAACTAGAGGCCCGAGAGAAGACCAGACCCGAAGAAGGGCACCATCCGATCCTGAATTTACAAAGCAGCAATAAACGATAGGGCCATCAGTGGTGCAGATAAGAAGACAACCAGGCAGTGCCGAATTCCCTGTCGATTTTTCCTTTGGCAATCACCCACTCTACAATGCTCCTGATGATTCTCTTTGACAGAACTCCATGAGCGGTCTGAGTTTTAATGAAGATTCGGTTATTCCTCTCTCTCCAGACTGTCCATCATACAACATGAAGACTGTAGTAAGAAATCCACCCCTCAATGCAGTCAGGGACGTCCGTCGGCTAACTTCTGATGGCAGAGACAATATCATTGACAGGAACTTGAATGATCGGACTGTAGGAATTGATGCCACTCCAAACTTTTTTGGTGAAGTCGCAATCCACGAAAAGGTGGCTAGCAGATTCCTCGTCCCTTTGACAGAGCTCGCACCGATTAGCAAGCGCCCAGCCTCTTTGTTTCAGATTGTTGATGGTGAGGATCTTTTGGTGGAAGCAGATCCATAAGAAGCCACAAATCTTCACCGGGACAACTGTCTTCCAGGCTGCCTTATCCGGAAAATGCATCACACCAGGGAAGCGAGCAGTCGTCATACACCTGTATAATGAACGAATAGACAGAGCATCATCTGGGTTTGGCAACCACTCAATACGAGCAGGACCAAAGCCCAACCTATCAACAACATGGGAATTTAAAAACTCAATCAAACAAACTATCTCTCTCTCAGCCCCCCACGAAGCGAAACTTTCAATTTAATATCCCAACTAACTCTCTCACCTGAACTAGACGATGTCATAGATCCAAGGACCAGGACTAAGGGCGGCAGCAACGATACGCGGAAAAGAGTCACTGAGAATGGTCTTCGGGATAGCAGTCATACCAAAAGGAGACCCATGCACTGCCACCCGGATCAATGCAGACATGTTTCCAGAAAGTATCAAACATCCTCAAAATGTTCACCCAAACCGAGCTATTTCTTCCCACCCTTCTCTTGCCAGTATGCCACAAGGAAGAACCATCAGAGTACTTAAACTCAATCAGGTTTCTCCACCATCTTCCTCTATCTTCAGCAAATTTCCACATCCATTTGCTCAACATGGCCTGGTTGAAAGATTCGAAGTCGAGCGCCCCAATACCCCCATTCTTCTTGGAGGCTTTGCATATATCCTAACCAACCAGATGAAACTTGTTCTTTTCACTGGTACCACTCCAGATGAACCTCTTCTGCAGCTTTTTAACCCACTCCAGGGTGAATGATGGTGGACGGGACAGGAGGTGTATTCCAGGAAGAGAGAGAGGTCAGAACACAAACACCACACAAAATCTCTCAAAGGTTGAGTTATTGACTCTAAAATCAAAGAACAAAACTGACTCAATCGAGGTGAAATAGAGAAAGAAATGCAAACCGACTGGTTGGGTTGCCTCCCAACAAGTGCTTCTTTCACGTCGTGAGCCGGACGATGGCTCCTAAGTTTTGGTCCACCCCAAAACCTCCTTGAAGTTGAGGTTCTTGTCGATGAGGTGGAGTCTCAAGTCACGACCATGTGGTATGATAGGTGATGGAAGCTTGTGCACTTGATGCAGATAACGTCTCCACCCTCGAGACCTCTTCTTCTCTTCTCTCGTCTCATTGCCCAAGCCAGATATGAAAACATCGATTGACCACCATCGCGTCCACCAAGAGGGACCGATGTCGACGGTCTGGCAAAGAGACACTGCAAATGGGTCCTTGCTAAGCAATTCCTCAAAGTTTGGTGGAGATATCACATGTAACTCATGGCCGGTGCAAGCCTCTTCCACCTAAACTCCATCCTCGGCCTGGACGCCAATTGCTTCTTCAACCCCCCCCCCCTTTTCTTCTTCATGTGGTATCACCCCTGGGAAATGATCAAGAACTCCTTCTGTTTCACTTTCTTCATCCTCCACAACTTCTTTCTGTACCATTTCTCGCTCTTCTTCTTCTTCTAGCACGGATTAGAGAGCAAGTTGCCAAGCAATTTCTTTCATGAGATCTTCTTGCATCTCCTCACTCATGCCCACCTCTTCAAAGCTCAGTTTGGGATGTGGGAAGGTGTGGTCGGCTATGACAGGACATTCCTGATCATGATTATCACGGGAGCTCTCCGTGAAAACTTCTGTGTGTTCCACAATGTCCTTGTAGCCTTCTTCCTCCTCCTCCTCTTCTAGTATGGTAGCAGAAGGGTGATCTGGAGCAGGTTGTGCATAAGATCGCTCAAGATCATCGACGCTCTTCTTAATGCTTAGGAGGATCTCCTTTGTTTCACGATAGGCCTGGGTACAAAGATCCATCCTGGACCACGATCTCTCACTGTCTCGAGCAAACTGCTCCATGAGAAGCCTCAATTCGTAGTTTGGATATGGCTGTGGAGTGTAGCATGCCTCTGCAGAATGGCCCGTGAAGGCCTCCATGGGTAACTCCAGCTTCGATGGCCCTTCTGGTTGTGGGAGAAAGTCTTCTTGGTAATGAGGTTGTTCTTGATATGCCCAGGGGTCTGATTGTTCACCGTGGTAAGGGGGTTGCCGGGTTGGTACTGGAACCTGAATCCATAGTCCTCTCCTCCCTGATTGCTCCAGGGAGTCTCGGGGTAATACCACTCGGATGGTGGTGGATACCCCCAATGGTTGGAGAAGCCATGAGGATCCATGATTCAGATCTGCACCAACAAAAACAAAAACACCCAAGTGAAAAGCAAGGGTGAAAAAGAAAATAAAAACGCTAAAGTAACAAACTTCTGCCTTTCCTAATAATCTAGAAAGTTCCCCGGCAAAGGCGCCAAAAAACTTGACTCGCTATGACACAACTCCTAGCAAAGGCCAAGTGTAACCCATGAAAGGGACTGCAATATAGTGGCTCAAGTAATAAATATCGAATCCACGGGTCTCTAGAGTTACTATTACTCAGCTTCAGTTCATTATCTAGCAAACCAGATTAAGATAGAACAACTAAAACTACTCTAGCAAACTACAGTTAAAGTTAATCTAATTACAGGTTGGGAACTCACTTAGGTATGATTCCCCCTAGCCACTAGCCAGATTAATGATTGATGATCTCTTATTTGTTTCACTTTCATTCACAATGCGGAGAATCCTTGACTAGACCTTGAGTCTCGACTAAAGGAACAAGGCCCTCTTGAGTCAATTGCCTAGAGGGACGTATCCTTCTCTAGAACAACCGATCAAGGCGTTTTAAACTAGACTCCCTCTATCGAAAGAGGTTCTCAATCGAGACAAAGCAGTGAATCAACCCTCGATTAAAGCAATCGATCCACTACTATCAAACTATGATGCTCTATTGACCTAATCAGGTATTCGCTCTCATAGGATCAAAGCAGAATCAATAATCTTGACTAAAGCAGAATTGAATCATGAAAACGTGCATAGATTGAATATGAACTCAAGATTATCAAGTAAGAGTACTCATACAATCATCCAATCAAACAAACATAGCTAGGGTTCCTCAAAACCTAAGTGAAGGGAAGCTACTCCATAGAGAAGAGAGAGACTGCAGTAAGAATCTTCAAATGATCAGTCTTCAAGTCCGGGCTTGTTCCTCGAGCTTCCTAGGCGAAGAAATCCTCCAGTTCCACTCCAAAAATGCCCTCAATCGGCCTCTCTCTCTTTGGTTCGTCCCTTGGGTGTTTGGGATCCAAAACCCAGCTCTCCCTTGCAAAACGCATAAAACAGGCTTTTAACAGCCTACGTTCGCGATCCCCGGTCAGAATACCCGGTCGGGTATTTTAGATGGAGACCGTGTATCTTTAAAACGCACCGTCGGGGAACAGGGGTTAATCCCCGGTCAGGGCCAAGAATACCCGACCGAGGATTTATGATTACTTCCCGGGCCCCCTTCTGCTTCTCAGACGCCCAAAACATATTTTCCCCGGTCTGCTACAAATAATACCCAGTCGGATAATTCTGCCATTGGCCGGGTATTTTGCTCCTCCAGCACACTTCAACCCAAACATGCTCATTTCGAACCGAAACTTGTTTCTTCGCCTCGATGCCAACGCTAAGCCCTGAAATATAACATAAACGCACAAACTAGCGTGAAATCGGCTTAAAACACGAGAATTAACATCTCAAACGGCTCAAGAATAGGGGTATAAACATGTGTAATTATAGGTCTATCAGTCACAGGAACAGGGGACCAGAGAAATGGGTGGTGACGAAGGAGCTTGAGTATGAGAACTGGAATCCTCAGGGAGAACAGAGGAAGTTGGTTCAACAAAGTTTAAGGATGAAGAGAGATATTCCGGTCTGATCAGCTGAAGACCTAACGGGGACATATTCGAAAGAAAGCAAGGATGGAATAACCGAATAGAAGAAATGATGAACCGGTTGGTATGGAATGGTATAGGAGGAGAAGGGAATAGGAGTGAGAAGATGACATGGAAGTCACCCCTCTCAAAGATTGAAAGGTCGAGAAACTGGAATCTGATAGTGGGCTTGGGGTTGGGCTTTGCGATGGTCAATGAAGCGGGTAATGAAACTGGCTTGGGGGTAAGGGGAAGAGAAAGGGGAAGTCAAGCTACTCACAGGCCCCGACCTCAATGGGCCTTCCTTCCTGACCAATTTTTTAATCAAGCCCTCCTTCGCTGAAGAATACCTAGCCCCAGTAGTGGCTGTCTCGGACGATGAAACGACGTCTGCATGCGTAGCTGCAAAAGAGACCTGATGACGCCCCACACAGTGCGACAGCCGCTGATGATCTGTGAGTTCTAATGACCGACCTTTCGCCTTCCACCCTTCCAACCGATGATCATTCGCCCCCGCCGTCGACGAAGCAATCGCCACTGGCTCCATGATGATCTTCACCGGAAAAACATGATGCCCAAACAGATTGGAATTTCTTCTGGGAAGGACTCTGCCTTAAATCTAATTCTGATGAAAGGAGCAGCCCAGTGATTCCAATCAATATCAACAAGCAATCCACAGAAGTCACCTATATTTCTGATCAAATCCACACTCTTCAAGTGTAGAGGAATACCAAAAACCAGTATCCAGCGAGCAAAAGGACATCCTATACCCAATTCCTCTGTATCCTCCTTCCACATACTCACCCGAACGCTGAAGCCCCCGAAACTGAAGTTATCCAAAACCTTTATTCACAAAGCCTCCGCCGCGCTAGGACAAACCAACAGCCAATTCCTGTATGGAAGAACTTGTAAGTCAAAGTTTTCGTTAATGGCCCAATGAGCCATCGCCCACTTTCTGAACTTCGGGACAGAAGCATTAGACATAACCTCTGACTCATCGGAGTGAAATCTAACAAATAGGCTTCTTCCAAGAAGATCCCTGCGCTCCTTAACCCCATCCCTTTCAACCTCTATGAATTTATCACGACCTGCTACTTTGATCGCACACCTGTCGGCCCCGTAAAACCCGTTGCTTTTAACGGCGTCAGCAAAGGATCACCCGTCTTGGATGTGTGTTGGTGTCACGAGGGGTTTGACAAGTCGGGTCTCCCAGTCACGTTCCGCAGAATAGATATCATGAAGTAAAAAGGTAAGTTTCGCCCACCAGTTGCATTCATCATTGGGGGGGGGGGGGGGGGGGGGGGGGGGGGGGGGGGTATCACTTTGAATGTCTTCCCACTTCTGTTTTGCTCGGAGATCTGCAGATAGTGACCTTTGCGATTCCAACCCCTACCAACATGGATAAATCTGGAACCAATCCTTTTGACACAATTCCTGTGGAAACGCCACCCTCTCATTGCGGCAGTATGAAGAAGTCCATACAGCCACGCAAGATGGACCTCCTCCAATAGATCAAACCACCTCCGTCTCCCTTCCTCAAACGAGAGTCTGTAAGGTTTCACACTCCTAAACCTTCCTCTACTTAGTGTGACCAACTTGGAACCCATCTGAACCTGTCTCGTGCATCTTGTCGTCGACCTGCCGCCGCCACCCGAAAGTCCTGACACCGCCGACCTGCAAAATAGACTACTGTTATCTTCCAATCTCTCACCTCTGCCTGCGACATACTCTTTCTCTCCCCAACGAACTTTCTCTCTCATGGGTAGTGATTTCTCGTATCTCTTCCAAAACTCTTTTTGTGCAATTGACTCTCCTCTTTTACCGTTTATTTGTTATCTTCCCAATTTTACAACATTGCATGTCATCTAGTTCTTCCATAACACATTTTTTGGGCAAAACTTTTGTACAAACATGAATTTATTACAAAAGTCATAAAAACAATGAACTATTATCAATTGGGTTTATATTTCAATTTTTTATCAAATAAGACGATTGTACGTAGATTACCCAACCAACGGGGTGGGCCTAGTACTAGTTCTAACGGTAGATAGAAGTGAAGGACTTATTTGTTATTTGACAAAATTTTAATAAATTAATTAAAATCTAAAATCTATCTCCTCTTTCTTATAATTAGTGTTTCTTCGAATAAAAAAATAATAATTAGTGTTTCTTCGTGGGGTAGCTACTATATACAAATCACTACGAACACATACTAAAACCGACCCAAAACCTAAAAAAACAAAGGTCATTGCCGCCTGTCAAAATTCATATTTCCTCCTCGGCCTGCAATACATCAACTTTGCCCGGGATGGGTTACGGTCACAACCCTTTTAGGGGGTGTGAGATTCACAACCCACTTCCTAGTCATTGGATACGCTATCTCTTTTGTCTCTCCCTTATTTTTTTCAAATTGATGACTAAGATTAAAGGAATGTATTTTCGGAATGAAAAAACTTAGCACATATTTACATTTCCTATTTTCTATTTAAACCCTCTTTATTAAAAAAAAAAAAAACAAAATACCCACTTTCCCCTCTCACGTTCTCTCCCTCATCTCTCCCACAAAAAACGCTAGTCGTGCTGCCACTGTCTCCTTCCGTCTCTCCAGCCGCCGTCTCCTTTTCGTCTCTCCATTCCGCCGCCGCCACCTTCTATTGCCTCTGTCACCATCTCCCACTACCTCCGACCATGGCGCAACCTCCATCTCCCGCTGCCACCGCCACCCACCAACAAACCGCCTCTGCCTCCCGCTTCTTCTGCCTCCCACCTTTTGTCTTCACGTCGCCGGCGCGAGGTCACCGTCTGTCCGTTGCCTTCCTCTCATCTTCTGATTTTTTTTTCAGATATGGAATTTTTCAGATTCCAGATCTGGTTTTTTTGTGTCATTCTCTAGTGGTACGCTACCACTACCACTGGTATCGCTACCAATGGTACGTACCAGTGACTAGTGATAGTTTTTGCGTAATAGTAGTGTTAGTGGTACGCTACTACTACCTGTACCAAAGGGTAGTGGTACCAAATGATAGTGGTATGCTACTTCTACCAGGTACCGAATGGTACTCGTACCAAATAGTACTGGTACGATACCACTAGCTCTGGGCTGGTAGTGGTAGCGTACAACTAGAGCACTGACGGAGTGATAATTTTTTGCAAGTGGCCGGAGCAAGTCTGATTCAAGGATTTCGCCGGAGAAAGTATGTCGGTCGGAAAGTAAACCGGTTGGAATAGAGTGGCTGCTGGAAAAGGAAGGAGAGATAGAAAGAGAGAGTTCTATTTATTGTAGGATTTAAATTTAAAAAAAGCATGTATTAATATGGGTTTCTAATTCCCAATCTGTAATTAATACAAAAAATTAATTAATAAATTCATTTTTTTTCATGCCCAAAATACCCTTGGTTGCGAATCTCACAACCCTCTTGGGGAAAGTGACCATATCCCGCCCCACTTTGCCCGCTCCAACACATCGTCCCCCGCCGAGCCGAACAACTTCCTCTTTCCCAACATCTACCGCGCGTTTTCGCCTTTCCAAGCCGAACCTCAACCCGTCTCACCAAGTGGTTCGTTGTAGTCACAATGCGGCGGAGACACGTGTCCCGATGAATCTCGTCGCTCCCGTCATAAGAAGTATACTCCTGACCTCGGTGTTCTGATTTGTTTGATGGTGACTCCAGATCCGTCGCACTGAGACGTCTATGAGCATTGGGGAAGCCAAATCCAGAATGAAAATCTCGACGACGGTGCATATGATGGAGAAAGAAATGGCAACGGGTTTGTGGGGAAGCGGAATTAGAGAGGCGCAAATTGACGCGTGAGCAAGTGAAGCTTTTGAGAGAGAGGTTGTGAAAGGAATGGCCGTTGAAGGATTAGGGTAGGTTGGATGAATATATGTTAGGGTTTGATATGATTTTTGATGAAATTAGCCTTTAATTAATTTAAACCATCAGATTAATTTTTCATCTAATGATTACAAACATGGTTAGAACGATGCTGACACTTTATGTAGTTAGCAACTAAACTCATCCCGCCACATAAATGTGAAACCAAAAAAGAAAAAGAGGTAGATGACAACGTTCTACAAAAATAGAATTTGAAAAAAAATATCCATCCAACAAAATCAAAGCCCGCCTACTACAAAAGTCAAGAAAAGTGAACACAAATTTGAAAAAAGAAAAAAGTCATAGCAATCACATATATTTATTCAGTCTGCCCAAAGTTATCTATAATCTATTGATAGACAAGTAAAACTAGTACACATGAAGTATTTGGTTTGAGTATTATGGATTGTATACAAATATTTTTTGGTGTACTAATACGAGGTAGGGTGGGTCCTGGAATCCACCCTAAACTAAATTGGTTCTGCCACTGCCCTTGGGAGAGATTAAACTGATTGGTCACCGAGAAAGAGGAAGAAATTGAGAGAAAGGCTTAGAAATTAAAGGAGAGAGAGAGAGAGAGAGAGAGAGAGAGAGAGAGAGAGAGGAGAATATATTATTGATCAAAATGTCGTTATAACCACTTTGGGTTGGCTTCTTATATCACTGGAAAATAACCAACTAACCCCTAAACTTCTAATCTATTGCTCGTCTATACTTTTGTTTATTACATTTAAGGACATTCGTTACTACTCTCCTCCCCCTTCACAAAATTCTTGTTCTCAACTCTCAAGCTTGAAATTCTGGAGGCGCTGCTTGAATTCCACGAAAAACTCCGAGGTAGCGTCTTCTTCAATTTGATGTGACCATTTTACAAGTATCAGTGAGATCCAGAACTGGAGCCTGCACCATAGCAACTTTGAGTAGTTCAAAAGCACTCTAAGCCATGTCAAACCATTTGAAACTATCCTTTTTCAATAGATTTGTTAGAGGCTTACCAATAACCCCATAATTCCTCACAAACTTCTATAGTAACCTGTTAAACCTAGAAAACCTCTTATTTCTTACACATTCTTGGCCACAGGCCAAGCCACCATAGTCTCAATCTTTGTTGGGTCAGTGGAGACCATTCTTGGTTGACGATATTCCCCAAATAATCCACTTGAGTTTGTACAAAGGAACACTTAGAAGCCTTTGAGTGACGAGTAGGGTGGTTGGCACGTTCCTCTCTAGCCTTATGCTTCGGATGTCCAGGCGGGAACCCAATTAGCTTATAGCAAGACTCCTTCAAATGTTCAATACTATTACAATGGGAGCAATGGGGGCGATCTTAGTCTTTACAGGAATCCTTTTCAGCTTGAGTCTGGAACACACTTGTCTCAATAACATGCCGACATGCTTCATGCGAATTCCTTGCTGAAACTGCGTTGAAGATCAGCTCATATCACATGATTAGTGGTGGCGTTCTGCAAGATGTTACAAACTTCTCTAGTCATAGTGATTTTCAGCCACCCCTTCACCGTTGCATCACATCGATCCCAAGCATTTTTACAATCCCTCGGTCCTGCCTTCGATCACGGAAGAGAACAGTCCACAAAAGCCATCTTATTCTTGGCTATTAGGGTTTTGGTCATGTCATTTACCCATTATCCATAATTTGAGTCTTTCAAAAGAT